ATAGCCCCCGATTAAATACAAATACAATACCCAATGAATTACTTGGGAATAAAATTCAAGAAAATTCAATAATTCCTCAGAAAATTCAGATGAGAGATCTTCTTAAAACTTTAAATAATTTTCAAAAACTATTAGGAGATATCAATTGGATCTGACCCTTATTAGGTATTCCTACTTATAAAATATAACATCTTTTCAATACCTTGAAAGGACCCCCAGATCTTAATAGTCCTAGAGACTCAACCTCAAAGGCTGAGGAAGAGCTCAAATGGATAGAACAACACATTCAAAAAGCTCAATTATCAAAAATTGACTTACACAAACCCTTGCTTTTATTAATTTACTTTACACCCCATTCTCCCACAGGATTGCTCTGTCAATATGATGGTTGGCTAGAATGGATATTTTTACAGTATCAAACTAAACCCTCGTTACAACCTTACAGCGACAAAGTAGCCTTCATTATCCTCAAAGGAATTAAGACAGATGATTGGTCAAGGTCCTCACTCCATTATTCTTCCATTGTCTAAACAAAATATTATTCAAGTATTTCAAGAAAATACTCATTGGTAAATTTCACTTTCTGATTTTTTAGGAAATACTGACTGTCATTACCCTAAGAATAAATTATTTTCCTTTTTTCAGCACCATCAATGGATCCTTCCTCAAAAAACTTCTCCTAATCCACTTTTAAACACTGTTACCTGTTTTACAGGTGGTACAAAATCTTTTAAAGCATTCTATACAACTTGCTCTGGTTTGTCAAAAACTTTTCAAACGTCTTTTACTTCTGCACAACAAAATGAGTTATACGCTGTATTGCAAGCTCTGCAAGATTTTCCAGGTCTTCTCAATATTGTTACTGACTCTGTTTATGCTGCCTTTTCTGTTCCTCGATTAGAAACTACAACGTTGGGCACCGTACAATCCCCGGTTAACACTTTATTCTCTCAATTACAGACATGTATCCGTCAACATCAACACCCCTTCTTTATCACTCATATACGATCACATTCTAATTTACCAGGTCCTTTATCGTACTATAATGACAAAGTAGACAAGATTGTTTCTTTGGTTAATTACTCACCGGCTCAATGCTATCATGACCTGACTCATGCTAGCCTCCTTTACTTTACAAAAGCGTTTTTCTCTCTATCTGAAGTTCAGAATATTTTGAATTCTTGTCGAACCTGTTCTCAAATTAATTCTACTCATTTACAAGCTGGAACCATTCCCAGGGGAACGCGTCCTAATGCCCTAAGGCAAATGGATGTTACTTTTGTTCCTAAATTGGAACTCTCAAACATGTTCATGTTTCCATCGATACTTACTCTTCTGCTTCATGGGCCACGGCCTGAACAGGAGAACGATCTCACCAGGTTATCACTCATCTTTCACAAGCATTTGCAGTACTAGGCATTCCTGCCACCATAAAAACTGACAACGGTCCAGTTTACCTCCCCTCTATGCTAAGAAAATTCTTTCACTTATATAATATCAATCATAAACAGGCATTCCTTATAACTCTACATGTCAAGCTCTAATTAAACATCATCATCTTACTCTTAAGCATTATTTATTAAAACAAAAAGGGGATTACTCCCCAATATGATAAAATTAACTGCAAATCAATGATGAATGCATGCTTTACATATCCTTAATTTTGATCTTTTAAAGAGTGACGGACGATCAGCTATGGAAATGTATTTTTCTGATAATATTTCTTTTTCTAGAACAACAGCAGTTCCTATGCGGTGGTCTCCAATAGGTTCTTCACAATGGTATAAAGGTCATATCAAAGTGTGGGGCAAAGGGCTTGTTTGTGTTGTTACAGAGGATCAACGCCTGATTTGGCTGCCCAGAGAACGAATCAAGATACGATATGAAGAAGAACCAACGTCAACATCCTCTCGAAGAGTCATTCCAGAGGATGACCATCAAAAAACCTTGACAAAGGCCTGTATGTCAGACACAGAAAACTGAAACCCATCAAAAGATAGCACCTTTGTTTTCATTCCCAATAATAGCACTTATGCATGTACATACTACACAGGCTTGGGTTATAACAGCAAGCGTAGCTAGCCCCCCCCACTTAGGCCATGGTGTAGTTCTTCATTGCTTATCTACTTGCTCCACTCCTGTGGGCCCTATAGTATGGGAAAAGGATGGTGAAGAAATATATAGACAAAAGGATGGAGGAAAACTTGGATGGTGTAATGTTACTGATCAATCTGTTAGAGATAATGATCGTTACGATAGTTATAAGACAATTTTGACTCAAGAAGATATTAGCAATTATACCTGTGAGAAGTTTCAAAAGGGAACTCCTGACATGTTATATAAAAGTAGTTATGTGTCTATAAATGTATCACTCATTCCAGAAAATAATTTCTCTTCACCTAACTTGTGGTTACAACTCGGGAGCCAGGGATTACACAAGTCATCCTTTTGTGTGGCAGGAGATTCCTCTATCAGTGGACTGCTGAAGAAGAACTCAGTAGGCATAGGACTTCCTCTTACGGTGTTACTAACTTATCAGGCATAAATATTACTCTTACTCCTAGTACTCTCACTTCCGATGTTCAATAAAATTTACCTGTTAGCACTACTATAATCACTGATGGTGTATGTATTAATTGCACTCATGCACCTTCTTATTGTAATTCTACAATCAATGTAAAATGGTCTTCTGGATATAGACTTCCAGACGGTTGGGTATTTTTGTGTAATAACAAAACATATCAAGCCCTCTCTTCACATTATCGAGGTGTTTGTGGCATGGGATGCATTCTTCCTGCTCTAATAGATAATCCTGGAAATAATCACAAAAGACTTCCCCGAGCTCTGCTGTCTGATTGTGATGACAACTTGAGGCTTTTAGATCCTGCCTCTGTTGCAACTGCAGCTGCATTTCTCCCGCCAGCTCCTGGACTTATTGCTGGAATGCAAAAGGAGATATCTAAATTGGCTTGTGCGTATAGTAAAGCAACGAATTTGACTTCTTCTATATTAGCTGAACTCAATCAAGAGCTAGGAGAAGTATGAGTTGCGGTGCTTCAGAATTGCACTATTGTAGACTATCTGCTGTTAAAAGAACATAGGGGATGTGAACAGTTTCCAGGAATGTGTTATGTTAATTTGTCTGATTTTTCTCAAACTATTCAAAATCAATTAGATAATATTCATCATCATATTAATAAGTTTTCACAGATGTCTGGGTTACCTAACTGGTTTTCTTGGTTTCATTGGCTATGGCCAGTAATTGTAGGTCTGCTTTTGTTATGTATCTGTATTCCTGTTCTGTTAAGGTGTGTACGTAATTTAATTAGTAGTTTGTTAAAACCTATACATGCTTACGTTACTCTACAAGAAGTTATGTCAAAGAAATAATCAATCTTCTCATATTTTCTTCCATCTGCTACTTCTATAGCTTTTCTTCTTCCTTTCTAAATACAGTCCTTTCCTAGAATTCATGCCTCATACTTAAAATTACAGAGTATCACAATTCTTCCAAGTGGTAAGGATGCCTCAAGACAAGTGCTGGGCATAGAAGCCATGAGACATAAATCTGCAAAGAAGTAAAAAGCTAACCTTTTTCAAACAATATTGCTTCTCTCTCACTTACTAACTTTACATCTATCTCCCTGTATGGCCCTGGAAGATGGCTGGTTAGCCAGAGACAGGTAAGATTCCTCAAGGGAGGAACAACCTAAAACAGGCACAGTCACATGGGGGCCATCAGGTGAAAAATTGGGGGTCAACAGAGGTGAGGTTTAGAACCTCACCCCCCCAGTTTTGAGAGAAATCTTCTGCACCCATGGCTATTTCGTTGCCCTTGTCTCACTCTGATCAATACCTAGTCTGTAGGCACGGACCTGACCACCTACACTTGCCTTCCTACTGCACTAAACTCTACTTTCCATCTTTAGTTTACATCATGAGATTTAAACAATAGATTATGTTTTATGAAAAAGTAAACTGTGTTAAAAGCTTTCTATTAGAAACTGTAATCTTTATATGTCTACCTACTACTTAAACATTTTATTAAAAAAATAAGGGGGAAATGTGGGATTAATATATAAATCAAATGTATAATCATACCTGACTTGATTATTTTTCTTGTAATTCATAATGCGTGATCAAGAGCAAAACAGTTTCTGTGACATGACTGCCCTTTCATTGTTCACCATGAAGGAACATCACGCCCCAAGAGACTGGATACAGCTGAGAACTAATGATTGTGTGTTGGATCCCTACACAAAATGCTATTGTTGCTAACATTTATTGGCTCAATAAATATGAGGGGAGCCCTCTCAGCACCACTCTTGTGCTGTTATGCCTCAAGTCCCCTGGCTGGTCCTTTCAGATCTTCGATATCTAATCGTGTCTCCCCCCTCTTATCTGTGGTCAGAAGCAGGGAGGGACCAACACAGAAGCAGTCTCACTAACACAGGAGCTTAAGCACAACCTCTGACCAAACACTAGCAAAACAACAGGCATCCCTGAGTCAGGGACAACTCCTGGGGTTGCCAGGATTAAAAATAAAATCAGATTACTTATAATCGCCAAGGTATGGAAGCAAGCTAAGTATCCATCAATAGATGAATAGATAAAGATGTGCTACATATATACAATGAGATACTGCTCAGCCCTAAAAAAGGAAATCTTGTCATTTGCAACAACATGGATGGACCTGGAGGGTATTATGCTAAATGAAATAAGCCAGGCAGAGAAAGACAAATACTGTATGATTTCAGTTACATGTGGACTCTGAAAAACAAAACAATCAAAACAGAAATAGACTCATAGACACGAAGAAGAGACTGGTGGTTGCCATGGGGGAGGGGGTTGGGGGAGTAGGAAAAAGAGGTGAAGGGCAAAGACCTTAACAGATATCTCATGAAAAAAGATACATAGATGGCAAATAAGCATATGAAAAGATGCTCCACATCACATGTCATCAGGGAAATGCAAATTAACACTGAGATACCACTACATACCTATGCAAATGGCCAAAATTCAGAACACCCACAATACCACATGCTGGTGAAACTGCAGAGCAATAGGAATTCTCACTCTTTGCTGGAAGAAATGCAAAAATGGTACAGCCACTTTGGAAGACAGTTTGGTGGTTTCTTATAAAACAGAACATATGCTTATCATACAGTCTAGCAATTGTGCTCCTTGGTATTTACCGAAGAAATTGAAACTTCTTTTTCCACACAAAAACCTGCACATGAGTAATTATACCAATTTCACTCATGATTGCCAAAAACAAAAAGTAACCAAGATTAACTTCAATAAGTGAATGGATAACCAAAACAGTGGTATATATTCATAAAATAGAATATTATTCAGTGATAAAAAGTAATGAGCTCTTGTGATGGTTAATTTTATATGTCATTTTGGCTGGGCCACGGTGACCATGTATGTGGCAAACTTCATTCTGGATGTTTCTATAAAGATGGTTTGGATGAGATTAACATTTAAATTGGTAGACTTTGTGTAAAGTAGATTGCTCTCCATAGTAAGGGTGGGCCTCATCTGATCAGTGAAAAGTCTGAACAAAAGACTCATTTCCCCAAGGAAGAGGGAATTCTGCCAACAGACAGCCTTCAAATGTGACCTACACCCTGTATTTATAAAAACACTTATGAAAATAGGAATTTAAAGATATTTATTTACTATATATAGTATGTATATGTATGCATCTTAACACATGTATAGATACATACAAATAGGATATATAATACATAATAAATAATTATAGCATGTTAATTACATAATTAATATTGATATATAACTAATATATATGTGTGTATGTACATACATTATATGTTATATATGATATGTGGTCTGTATTTACTAAAAGCAGAAACACTAGAGACATTTCTGAAACAAAGACAAGGATGTCCACTATCTCTGCTACTGAACATTTTTCTAGCGGTAGTAGCCAATGCAATTAGATAAGAGAAATAAATTACAACCATAAGAAATGGTAAAAAAGATGTAAAACTATCACCATTTTACAGATAATGATAGTACATCTATAAAACCTAAGAGAATCAATGATAAAACTAACTCAGACAATAAAATATTTGAACAAGTTGGCTAGATACAAAATTAACACATGGAAATTAACAGTCTTTATATACATAAACAATAATCAGTTAGAAGATATAGCAGAGGAACTCACTTACAACAGAAACAAAGAAGATCATTACCAAGGAATAAACGTAACAAGAAATGTTGTAAAGCCCATATGAGGAAAATTTTAAAATATTGCTGAAAGACACAAAAGAATATGTGAACAAATAAGAAGATATCCCTGTTCCTGGAATGGGGGTTCCATCAACTTTATAAAGATGTCAGTTCTTCTTAAGTTTAATTTATTAATTTTTTTTGTATCATTAATCTATAATTACATGAGGACATTATGTTTGCTAGGCTCCCCCTTCACCAAGTAATTTATTAATTTAATTCAACCCCAATGAAAACATCAAGAAGCTTAAAATTAGACAACTTAATACTAAAGTTCATACTGGAAAAATAGCCAAAAAAATACCAGAAACAACAGAACTAAGGATGATTTGAAAGCCATCATCCCCCAGGGTAGTAGTCAAAACCTTGTACAATCCCTCCCTACACTGTACCAGGGTTGGACCAATAAAAAACACCAGAAGTGATAATATGCCAATCCTGACACTGGGTTATTAAAGAAAAGCTAAGGTTTGCATATTGGGCCTTTCTCACTTTCTCTTTCTTGGATCAATTATTCTGAAGGAAAGTATGTTGTGAGCAGTCTCACGGAGAGGCCCAGGTGGCAGGGAACGGAGGTTTCCAGCCAAGAACCAATGCCTGCCCTCAACTATGTGAGAGAGAGCTTACACAGTGACCCTGAAGGCTTTAGCCTTAGGCTGACTGCAGCCTTAGCTAACAGCTTGATTAGCTCAAGAGAAGCTTTGAGTCAGAGTTCTCAGCTACGCCACTGCCAGATTCTTGGAGTGCTCAGAAGCTGCTATTAAGTCAACACTGAAATACCATTCCTCGCCTATCAGATTGGCAACGCTAAACAGTAGGACCACATATTCTGTTGGTGAGGCTGGGGAGGGAAAAGACCTTCTTTTGTGCTGTCAATGGAAATGCAAACTGGTACAGCCTTCTGTAGGGAAATAACAGTGTCTGGAAAAGCTACACATGTACTTACCTTCTGGCCCAATGATGCCACTTCTAGGAATTTACCCTGAAGACACACCTGCAACAACATGAAAAAACATATCATTTATTTTGGGTATTATTTTTTATATTATTATTATAATTATTTGTAATTGCAAATAATTGAAACAAGCTTTACATACTATATCACACATAGGGGATGGGAGAATACATGTGGGGCATCCAGATGACGGAGTATGATGCAGCTATAAAAAAGAATGAGGAAGATCTCTATAAACTAGTTACCAGGGAATAATCTCCCTGTGATATAATGAGTCATAAGAAATACATATTTGGTCATCAGATGACCAAATACGTATTTCCCAGGTATATTTGGTCTTCATCCACAGTTCCTGAAGACACCCCAGAGTCTTAAAGGTGAGATGGGTGCTTTGTTGTGTTAATGAGAGACTTTTGGACCCTCCACCCGTGGTCAGGGTCTGGAAGTTGAATCAGCCAGTGGCCTATAATTTAGTCAATTGTGACCATGCGGTGGCGTCCTCACAAAAACCCCCGAGAAGAGCTCGTCGCTCTCTGGGATCCTGCTTCTCTGTCGGGGAGAGCTTCTGTGCTTGGGGACCGGAAGCCTCCCCGTGCCACCGAGACAGCCCCACCCTCCGCCAAGTAGAAGCTCCTTTATTGGGGACCTTGCCCTATGTACCTCTTCACCTGGCTGTTAACTTATTAAACTGGTAAACATCAGTTTTTTTTTGCGTTCTGTGAGCCGCTCCAGCAAGTTAATTGAACCTAAGGGGGAGGTCGTGGGAACCTCCAATCTGCACAGGTAGGTCGGAAGAACAGGGGGCTGCCCGGAGCCTGCCACCAGCGTCTGGAGTGGCGGGTGGAACGCAGTCTTGTAGGACGGAGCCCTTAACTTGGGGAATCTGGTGCTGCCTCTGGGCAGATTGCATCAGCATTGAGTTAACCCCTGTCGGCCGTCCCGGGAGCCCGACGCGGGTTCGCGGGAAGCCGGGAACATGGCGGGGCGGTCCCCGGCCCCTGCCTCGCCATAACTGAGAATGGTTTAGAAATTGAACACATTCCCATTACTTTACCTATTATATCATTTTGGAGAAAAGAGTCATGTGCTTTGTTGGTTAAATTCCCAACTACTATGGTTCCAACTTCTTGGAAAGGAGAATTCAGGGTTGTTTTGCTATCTTTTAGTGAATAAGGGTAGATATTTTAATGTGAATCTGAATGAAGAAATTTTGAGAAGAGGCCTTAGCAAAACTGTTCTTGTTAAAGGGCTAAATTATGATTCTAAAATCTATTGGAAAATTCACAGCAACTTACTTAAAGCTGAATTAAAAGCCTTGAAAAAGAAGAAGGAATATGAAAGCAAGAATCTGAAAAGGAAACTTAGTTGGAAAAATTCAAAGATTCCTGGAGAGAAATATGGAAAAAAGACAGTTATTTAAAAAAAAATTGGATCAGATTTCAACTTGAGAAAAGAAAGTTATTATGACAAATTTAGAAGGACTTATGAAACATGGAAAGACAACAAGAGTAACTACTCCTTAATATTGAACTTCGGAGAACTTATGAGTCGCATACACTTTTGTAGAAAAGGGTGAAATATTCCAAGAGGGCTGGAGGTGATCTACTCTGAAAGGAGCAAAATATGTAAATACATAGATATTTTTCACTGAGTTGAAATGGAAATTTTGTCAGTGATCAAAGGTGCATTCTAATGGTATTTAAATATTTCAGAGATGCTTATTATAAATATCAGAATAATTTAAACAAATTCTGATTTATGTAATATGCTTTTAGGAAAAATCAAACATTCTATAAAAGGTTACCAGGTTGAAGGATGTACATGTCATGCTAATATTTGAAGGGAGAGTTTAACTATTGGCCAAATAGTGTTCTTTTAGTTATTTTGGGAAGCCATATTTAATTTTGTTTAAAAGGAATATTTATTTTTCTAATTTTATCAGCTTTGATTGCTTATAATAAAGGACTCTCTTTATACATCGAAAAAAAATAATTGAGTTAAGTTCTCTCATACTCTGTGGTGTTCAAGAATTTCTTGGTGTTATGTGTGGGAAGACCCCCCTCCACACACATACACCCACTGGAATCAGGTCTGGGAACCCAAACAGAGCTATACTACTATTACTGCTGTGTGTCATACCATTACTGTTATTATATATGAAAGAACACATAACACTCCCATAGCAGAGTATGCTGTCCTTTGTGTAAAAACGAGAAGAGTATAAGAAAATATACATATATCCATTCACTGTACAAAAAGAAATACAAGAAGGACAAACCAGAGCTGATGACACTAGTTCCCTATAGGATTAGGTGAGAGTGGGTAGGAAGAACCCAGGAAGGGAATCGACATAGAAGGGGTTTGAGAAGAGGGACACTTCTCTGAGTATAGCTTTTGGGTAGTTCTGACTCTTAGGCCCATGTCAGTGTTTTACCCCGCACCCCAAACAATAAATAAGTAAAGTCAACCAGAATGTAGGAGGAACCCAAAAAGGAAAATAAACAGTAGGAAATGAATCTGGCTGTATTAAAAATGAGTGACATAATCATACTGAAGGGAATGGGGAAGAAAGACCCTCACCTAAGTCACTTTGGATAAGAATATTTTGAATGAATATCATAGGCAGAAGACGAGAGGATCAGAACACCACAGGTATTGTACTTGAATTAGTATATTTGTTTTTCAGAGTGCTATGAGTTAGAAATTCTGAAACTGCTGAATGTGTAAACTTGTGTTGAGCATATAAGTAATATATCATGTATAATGAGAGCCATATTTCTCACTGTCAGAGAAAGGAGTTACAAATAAGAAAAAAGGAAAGGCTAGAATGAGCCCCGTGGTGTTGGATTGGAATCAAAGGCATTACATAAACTCATGGTTTTAATATATAAATGCAGATGGATGGATCTAGAAATAATGTGCATAGGCACACAGGTATTTCCTACTCCACCCACTGAGAGGTCTGGAGGCCATGACACCCCGCAGCAGTGAGCAAAGCCAATACACAGATCTCGGTTCCTAAATTTCATTCGCCAATAAAAGGGATCAGGGCTCTTTGGAGAAATGGTTCATTTCAGAGCTCGGGCAGAAAGAACACAAGATGAGTCTGGAACATCATGAGGTGGCAGAAAGGAAGGAAGTGCTCAAACAATGGTGGGGACATTTCAGGAGAGGAGCCAACCTGCAGGAGGTCCCGAGGGGCCCAGTCTGAGCAGTCAGGTAAGTAATGACAGTGTGACAGGGTTCTGCAGAGAAACAGAGCCAACAGGACATACATACACACGTGCAGCAGCCAGGGCAGAAGACTGATGTTCAAGAAGTCAGGCAGGAAGGTGAATTCTTCCCTTCTCCAGCTTTGTGTTCTATTTAGACCTGCAACAGATTGGAGGATGTCCCCTCACATCTGGGAGGGCAAACTGCTTCACTCAGTCCACTGATTCAAATGTGGATTTCTTCTAGGAACACTCTCACAGACACACCTAGAAATAATATTAAGCCAAATATCTGGGTACCCCTTGGCCCAGGGAAGTTGACCTATAAAATTAACCATCACAGATAGTAATGGATTATTACCCATGGAATAAAATAAATATCCATGAGTATACTGATATAAATAAATGCATAAATGGGAGAGAGGGGACAGTTCTTTCTTCCTCATAGTAGGATTCCAATAAATAAATGTAGGAGACAATGATGGAAACAAAATCACCATAAGGCAAACACCACAGTAAAACCTGTTGCAGGCATGAACCACTGACGGATGCTAAGTTGTAGCTAAAAGTGTGATGAGAAACAAGGTATCTGCATAAACTCAAAGTATGTCCCCACAAGATGTGTACTCATCACCAAAAGAGAAATAGTAACTATAGTGGAGAAACCCAGCAGATAAGACCTTAACCAAGTGGTCCAAGTTAATATGAGCAGTAAGGCACCAGCATTAGGGACCAACTGGTACTCGTTGGTGTATGATTCACAGGTAACTGCAAATCACACCACTTCTGGAGGATCCTTGCCCAAAATGAATAACCTCAAAGTAATCATGACAAACCATCAGGTAAATCCAAACTGAGGGCTATTCTACAAAATGACTGTCCAGTACTCTTCACAAGTATCAAGTTCATGGAGGAAAAAAGAAATCTGAGAAATTGTCTCAGATTGGAGAAGACCAAGGAGTCATGACAGCCGTGGGTGCTGGCCCCTGAGACGGCCTCCCAGGGATCCTGGATCTCAGGGAATAGGGCTGACCTTGTACCAATAGCACATGTGGAAAGAGTGTGATTTTTGAAGTTAGGTCATAAAAGACTGTGCAACTTCAATGTTACTTTCTCCAGAAGCAGCCGGCTGCCATGTCATGAGGCTGCTTGAGAGGCCTCATGGCATGGCAGCCGGCTGCTTTGGGAGACACCCACATGGTGAGGACCTCGGGCTGCCAGCTGTTACGTGAAAACACCACCTTAAAAGCGGATCCCCTAGTCCTCATCAAGATGTCAGATGACCGCAGTCCTGGCTTTATCATGAATGCAACATTACCAGAGACGCTGAGCAAAGAACTACCCAGCTAAGGAGCTCCCAAACCCCTGACCCACAGAAACTACGAGATAATAACTGTTTGTTGTTTTAAGCTACTAAGTTTTAGGGTAACTGTTACAAAGCAATGACTAATACAGCAACTACGCAATTTGGAATCCTGGGTTGGATCCTGGACCAGGAAAAGGACATTAATGGGACCACTGGCACAATTAAAATAAGGTCTATAGAGTAGTTAATAGAGTATTATCTCACTGTTGATTTCCTAGTTTCAATAGCCATCCTTCTGTTCTTTAATATGTTGGCATTAAGAGAAGTTTGGTGAAGGGTATACAGGAACTCTCTGCACTGGTTTTGCAATTATTTGTAAGTCTAAAATCATTTCAAATAAACAGCTTTAAAAAAAATCAGAGAAATATAGCTAATGAAAGTAGAAGGAACAATAAAAAAAATAAGAGCAGAAATGAATAAAATAGAAAACATATAATGGAAAAAAACAGAAAAGTCAAAAT